AATAATATAGTGTAAAGCGCATAGAGCCTGCTGTTGAGCGGGGATATGCGCTATACAAATGCTATCTATTATTATTATTATTGTGCCCTTTTTTTTAACCCCTGTAAGTTCGGAAGTCACGCTCGTTGGCTGGTTTGTTTCACACTGTACTCTCAGTACATGTAGTAACGCTGACTGCGACACCGAGGTTCGGTTGGGCTCTATGCTGTTGTGTTGTTGAAACACCTGACCTTTGCGTCCGCCCTACTCTGTAGGCGTATATATTTGTCTGTCGAGTGGGGTTCGATCGAACCTGCGACGGTGGGCGGCTGGTAGGTGCTGTGGTGTCGTGTGGTGTGGTTTGCTCCTTCTTACCCTTCAAACATCTATTCATCTGTTGTTCCTATCTCTGCTACCCCCTCCTGCTTTTCCTTTTTTTTATGCTTCCAGGACTCTTCTAATCTTTGGCTCTTATGTGCCGTTTGTGCTGCAAATGGCGTAAAACTCTCACTAAGTGAGTGGTTGGCGGGTGCTCTGGTGTGGTTGGCTTCTTCTTTCCTCTAAAACATCTACCGTCCCCATTTCCCCTTTTTCTTTAACTCTCACTTAAACATATCTCTCTTTCTTTTTGTGTTTGTTGCTACTCTCTTGTAACGCATCTAATCTTCGGCATTTATATGAGCTTATTGTGCAAGTTACTAAACCTGAAAAGGTGGGTGGATGGCAGGTGCTCTAGTGTGGTTTGCTTCTTCTTTCCTATCAAACATCTATCGTCTTTATCTCCCCTCATTCTTTTTTAATTTTTGTTACTCTATTGTAACACCTCTAAATCTTCGGCACTTATATGACGTTATTGTGTTGCAAGTGCCGTAAAACACTTACCAGAACAAACAAACCCGAAAGAAAAATAAACATTGTGTCTGTCGTATTTTGCAGCAGTATTAGAAATAATCTGTCGTGCGGGGTTCGAACCATGCAACGTTATATGGTTACGAGTTGGACAGCCAGCCAAACGCATGAGGTATTTCTGCCTAAAATATCCGTGTTTTGTCTCGTTTTCCGTACTTTCAGCAGTAACGCCCGTAAACATCTGCTCACTGGGGAGTCTGGTTGTTTTTGTGTAGGTGTTCTACATGATGTAGTACCGACTGGAAACGGTTGTTTACCGCCGCATGTCGACTGCAAACGTTCGTCAGTCCCACACGCACGCATGCACGCACGCACGCACGCACGCACAGACACGCGCACACATGCATAGTCACACACTCAAAAACACACACATGCTCTCTGTCTGTCTGTCTGTCTGTCTGTCTGTCTGTCTGTCTGTCTGTCTGTCTGTCTGCCCCCCCCCCCCTCTCTCTCTCTCTCTCTCTCTCTCTCTCTCTCTCTCTCTCTCTCAATCACGCTCATGCACGCGCACACACATACACACGCGCACGAATAGACACACAAACAGACACACTCACTCACTGAGAGAGAGTGAGAGAGAGAGAGAGAGAGAGAGACAGACAGACAGACAGACAGACAGACAGACAGACAGACAGACAGACAGACAGACAGACACAGAAGGAGAGAGAGAGAGAGAGAGAGAGAGAGAGAGAGAGAGAGAGAGAGAGAGAGAGAGAGAGAGAGAGAGAGAGAGAGAGAGAGAGAGAGTCATTGTTGTGGGAGCCCATGGGCCTGTTACAGTGGCGTATTTTGGCGTTGTTCCCATCCATGATTGGAGCCCCGCAGTGGCAGAGTGTGGCAGACAGTCCTCACTGTCCCAAGGGTTATATACAGACCAACTTGTTCTTACGGCCAAGTGTGTAAGATCACCTGTACAAACGGTCCCTCCCAACACCCCCCCCCCCCTTTTGCCCTTGAAAAAAAACCACCCATAGTGACAAAATTATTATAATATTATTATTATTATTATTATTATTATTATTATTATTATTATTATTATTATTTATTATTCTTATAATCATCTTTATTATCATTATTATTATTATTAGTGTTACTATTATTATTATTTAGTGTATTATGTTCCTCACTGCTCAAACTGAATCACCTGCAGGGAAAGAATAGTCATACCTTTTTTGTTAATGCTCTGGGTGTGCAGTTATTTTATCTGGTATAATGCTGAACTGTGATCTGGACCGCACTGGTTCAAAATCCCAATGGGGAGCTCTTACTGACCTGGCTCAGTCTTGTTGGATGTGCTGTGTGTGTGTGTGTGTGTGTGTGTGTGTGTGTGTGTGTGTGTGTGTGTGTGTGTGTGTGTGTGTGTGTGTGTGTGTGTGTGTGTGTGTGTGGGTCTGTGTGTGGGTCTGTGTGTGTGTGTGTGTGTCCATCCGTATGTGTGAAAGCTATGGGAGGATCAATGAAATATATGTATCTTAAGATGGCTTCTATGTTTCTGTTTTCTCCAGGTGATGAAGATTCGTAACTTTTTGAGAGACGCTGACAAGCCAAGCGGGCTGTATCCAAACTATGTACACCCCAAAACTGGCAAATGGGGACAACGTGAGTCTATTGTGTGTCAGTCTCTGTCTGTCTGTCTGTCTGTCTGTCTGTCTGTCTGTCTGTCTGTCTGTCTGTCTGTCTGTCTGTCTGTCTGTCTGTCTGTCTGTCTGTCTGTCTGTCTGTCTGTCTGTCTGTCTGTCTGTCTGTCTGTCTCTCTCTCTCTCTCTCTCTCTCTCTCTCTCTCTCTCTCTCTCTCTCTCTCTCTCTCTCTCTCTCTCTCTCTCTCTCTCTCTCTCTCCCTCCCTCTCTCTTTATCCCTCAATATGTCAGTGGAAATTCTTGAAGTTGTTTAGGGAATTTTCATGGCTTTATCCTACTCAGCTCGAAGCTGTTGGAATTTGAATAAAATCAAATAACTTTATAGTGCTGAAAGGGACCATAAAACCTTTATTACAAGTTGATGGTTGGACAGCTTCCAGGCCCTACTTCTGTTCTGACCCACTGTTGTGTTTGTCTCTCTTGCTTTTGCCCAGCACTAAATGACAGTTATTGTGTGGATGTGTTTCTATTTTCTCATATATGTAAACCCATACATGTGTGCGTGTATGAGTGATTGGTGGCTGCTCTGGTGGGGTTTGCTCCTTCTTTCTTATCGAATATCCATTGTCCTTGTATATCTCCTCCTCCTTTTTCGTGTTTGTTACTCTCTTGTGACACCTCTAATCTATGGCACCTATATGACCTAATAGTGTTGCAAGTGCTGTGAAGTTCACATTATAAATTAGCATCATCATCATCCGGTGCCTTGCCGATGGGTGTGGGCTATCATGGACCTCCATTTCACTCTGTCTTGCGTTGCAGCAATGGTGTCGGTTGGTCTTGCTGCTCCTAGCCATGTTGTCATCTTGTCCAGTATCTTTTCCCTCTGTCTGCCTCTGCCTCTCTTTCCATCAAACTTGCCTGTTGTTACAATATTCTCTAATGCTTCTTTCTGCATTGTGTGTAATTATAAATTATACAGAAATAAAGACCCATACTTGCACTGTGCTGTACTGTAACTGTACTGCTGTACTGTACTGTACTGTTCTGTTCTGTACATATGCCGTTGTCTCCCCAGATCACGTGAGCATGGGAGCGCTGGGCGACAGTTACTACGAGTACCTGCTCAAAGAGTGGCTGGTCTCCAACAAAGAGGACTCGGACGCCAGGGAAATGTACGACAAAGCCATGCAGGTGTGTAACTTCTCCGCTTGCTTCTCTTTACTATTCGTCGTTATAAATAGCCATTGCTGTCTCAAGACAATTCGCAAATGGTGAGAGGGCTCCACTTGTTAGTTCTGAATATTGTTTTTTTTCCCCATAATGTGGTGTTTCTGCCTTTCTTTCTTTCTTTTTCATTGCACCAAATGTCAGTCATGTCCAAATTCCTTGTTTTGAGAAACATAGATGCTTATGGCAAGGTGACACCAGACCACCTTCACCTTATTCAATTGCAAATATCTCAACTTCTATTCGAGATGAATGAGTATTTTTTACGTCAATGATAAGACAAAGGAACTTGCTTTAGATTATTTATACCAAATATTCCTTATGCCCAAAAATTAATGAGTGTCTAGTTCGTCTGTGTCGTGACGCAATTCAATTATGGCAAAACTACAAGGTGGATTGGTTTGATATTCACGTACAGGATGAACTATCATTCGAATGCCTCAACTTGTTGCTGTAGGCATTTCGGTTTTTAAAAAAAATTGGAGATGGTCACTCTTGTTTGTCTCTCCTCTGACGGAACGTTGTTGTCTTTCTGCAGGCCGTCTATGACAAGCTACTGGCCAAGTCCAACTCTGGTCTCACATACTTTGCTGAGTACAAGTCTGGCCGTCTGGAGCACAAGATGGACCATCTGGCCTGTTTCGCAGGTCGGTCGTGTTGGCCACTCTCGCAGACACTTGTTTTCCAGGATTAGATATTGCTAATATCTAATTTGTGTTTGCTTGTGTGTGTGTGTGTGTGTGTGTGTGTGTGTGTGTGTGTGTGTGTGTGTGTGTGTGTGTGTGTATGTGTGTGTGTGTGTGTGCATGCAGAGAGATTGATTTTGTTATATGAATACTTCCAGGCGATTAAAGGTTTATATATTTTACAATGCTTGTAAATAAATGTCACAACGGGTGACTACAAGTAGATTTTCCCAATCATCATTAGTTGTTTAAGATAGAACAGGTACACTTCCAGGTTGTTCACTTTATCTATAAGCACCCTCGACCATCCTCAAGCATATCATAGATGTCGCCACAGTTGCTGACACAAAAACCTGTTGTTCCATTTCTTAGACAGAAATTCTCTTCCAGTAGTCTGTGAATCCTCCAGTTTCTCATATTGTCTGCTTAATGTAAGACTGCCATACACCATTTTGAAAAGAGACTTACAATGGAGTTGTACACTGAGCAGTTGAAATATGTGTTCATTGAGAGAAATCTCTGCTTCAACCAGTCTCTCAAGTATAAGTTCGTTTAGAACAATCTCTGCTTCAACCGGTCTCTCAAATATAAGTTCTGTTAGAACATTCTCTACTTTGACTAGTCTCTCAAGTAGGACTTAATTCAGAGAAATCTCTACATCTGCCAGTTTCTCACGTACTTCGCAAAACTAAATAAATGTCACAAGTGACTTTAAATAGATTTTCCCAATAACCATTAGTTGTTAAAGATAGTACAGGTGTACTACAAGATCGTTCACTTTATCTATAAGCACCCTTGGCCATCCTCAAGCATTTGTTGCCACAGATGCTGACAGAAAAACCTTATGCTTTGTTTCTCAAATACAAGTTTTTTAAAGAGGAATCTCTGCTTGAATCAGTTTCTCAAATATGAGTTCTTTTTGAGAAATCTCTGCTTCAACTTCTCATATATGATTTTCTTTTAGAACAATTTCTGCTTTGACCTGTTTTTCGAATGCATGTTATTTCAGAGAAGTCTTTGCTTCTAGCAGTTGCTCCTAACCTTTTGTCTCTGCGACTTGTGTCCACAGCGGGTATGGTTGGACTGGGAGCCGAGGGCTCAGACAACAAACAGAAGTACTTGAACATGGGAGAGGAGCTGGCCAACACCTGTCACGAGTCTTATATACGCACAGGTAGGAGGTCCCTGTCCTTTCTTCCTTGATGCCTCCTTCTGTTTCCTTACCTCTTACACAAGGTCCCATTTAGACTTTGACATTTGTCTTTACTCACATCCTACCCATGCCACCTATGATGCGGTAAAAGTTCTGTTTCAGCTGCTTACCTTCACTGTGGTCTTTCTATTGTGTCAGTTATAGGAATAGTTGACAGGCTTCACTTTCTAGTAGCTGGACAGACTACTGCTGTGTTGATTGAAGAAAGAGCTTTTTCCTTCGCTGAAGATTTTGCAGGGAGATGCGGAAGTGGAAAAAAAAGGAGTTTGTGGAGAAAGGAAAAAAAAAAAACAGAGAAAGGAGAAGTAGAGGAGGAAGAAATAAAAAATGAAGCAGGAAAAGAAGACGGAGAGAGAAAAGAGAAGTAAGAGAAGAAGTAAAATTAGTGACGGAAAATAAAAGAATTAGTAGAAGGAGAAGAAAAAGGAGACATAAGTGAAAGGAAAACAAGAAAAACTAGAAGTAATCAAGAAAAATTATGAGGAACAAAATCCTCCCCCCATGTCTTCACATTCCTCAATATCCCCCTCTCCTCCTTCCCCCCAGCCACGGGCCTGGGTCCCGAGTCGTTCCGCTTCGAGGGTTCGGTGGAGGCCAAGGCGATCCGTCAGAACGAGAAGTACTACATCCTGCGGCCCGAGGTGCTGGAGGGCTGGTATTACATGTGGAGGCTGACCAAGAAGCAGAAGTACCGAGACTGGGCCTGGGCTATGCTGCAGGTCAGTGACCGGGATGCTTTCAGAATGGATTTTGTAGATTTTTTCCCAAATATTATGTTAGATAGTTGTGGGTTGTTTTTTTTATGATGGAAAGTGTCATAGGTGCGTTACTTTGCTGGAGGACTCACTGAATCACTTTCTTTGCTGTGTTTTGGAAGGAATATATATTTAAGGTCATGATAGCTCAGTGAATATCATTGCGGACTGTGCTGCGAATGGCCCTGGCCTGAATCCAAAAGGGGTGTTCTTGAACCTGGACTGTGTAGGAAATATTCAAGGCTCTATACCCGCTCGAATTGTTCCTGTTAGAGATATACGTTAAGTGGAAGCCTCCGTCTCTCAAATAACGTTTGAAAGGGGCTTTATAGTTACACGACACCATCCTAATGAGCAGTTGTTTGGAGGGCACCACTCGAAGGTTCTATTTCTTTTCATTCCATTTCCCAATCAATATAATGATCACAATCTGTGAACTGGTGTTTGTGGTGTGGTGGTTAGGTGTTTTACTGTTTTATGCAGAGGACCTGAGTTGAGTTCCTGTATGGGTAACATTTTAAAAAATGTTAGTCTTTCTCCTGGGACTTGGTATCCCTCTCAACCAGCGCTGGCCCTGACAGACAGGATTAAAACCCTCCTCTGGTTAATGATCACATTATTTTGATGGGGACGTTAGAACACCCACATTTAAGATTTAACCAAATGTGAAGCGTGCTGACAAAATGAGTTACTTCTTAGAATCAAGCCTTAAGGAAATAGATACATCTCTCTTACAGGTGGATAATAAAAGACAGATTATAGTCAAAGAATATGGTGGTATCTATAATAAAACATCTACAAAATTGACCTTTATGTTGATTTTTTGCCAATATCTCTGTGGATTGCGAGAAGTAACTCATTTTGTCAGCATTCCTGACAAATGTGGTGCGATCCTCACTCTGTACTTCTTGTCCCGACCCACTCTGCCCCCCCCCCCACCCCCTCTCACCCGCCCCCTGCTCCTGCCACTCCAGTCCTTGGAGAAGCACTGCCGCACTGAGGGCGGCTACACCGGCATCAAGGACGTGTACCAGGTGAACCCCCAACAGGACGACGTCCAGCAGAGTTTCTTCCTGGCCGAGACCCTCAAGTACCTCTACCTGATCTTCTCCGACGACTCGCTGTTGGCCCTGGACAAGTGGGTGCTCAATACAGAGGCGCATCCGCTGCCCGTTAAGGGAGTCAACCCTGCTGCTATGGAGCTGTAGAGGAGTACAATGACGATCGCTTTCTGTGGGTGATGTCTGTTTCTTTTCTTTTTTTCTTCGTTCTTGTTCTTTGCCGATTCACAGAGAACACAGGTAGGATAGTTCTCAGGTACAACCTCCGAAGGTGCCATTGTTAGTGGACAAGGAGAGGAGACACTTTTATTGCTCAGTAAAAATTTGCTCTAGATAAAGTGAGAAGGATTAGAGTGCAGCCTCTTTCCTTTTTGCTGCATCTGTGATTTTTTGTTTGTTGTTCTTTACGGATTTGGTAAAGAACCAAGATAGGATGGAGCTCAGGTATAGCTTCCGAAGGTGCCATTGTAAGTGTACTTGAGTGATAAGACTCGGCTCTTGTTCTTCTTGGAGTCGTAGAACCTAGTTGAGCAGTGTCTCAGGATTAAGCCCCAGGTGCCATTGTAAGTCATAATAAGACTGGAGAAAGATGACGTCTTTTGTTGCTCAGCTATCATTTGTACATGATGAAATCAAAACTGTACATGGCTCAGTGTCTAGGGAGGGGTTTGCATTTTAGTTTGTTTTATTGTTGTAAGAACTTTTGGGGAAAGTCTGTTCTGGGTTAGTTTTGTTGCCCTGCAATTTGAAAGGGAGCACTTTGTTTGATTGTTCATTTGTGTAGCCTGAGGACTGCTCGAATTAAGTTTTGTCAAATTAATCAGTAGGTTTGGGGGTGTTTGTTGGTTGTTTTGTTTTGTTTTGTTTTGTTTGTTTGTTGTTGTTTTTTTTTTTGGGGGGGGGAGGTGTTTTCTGTCCCTCTACAACTGCAGGACAGACTGTGGTCGGACAAAATTTCGTGGCATTTCTACAGAATTTATGTCTTGGGAGTGCAATACAACTTAAGACGCCGATTCATCTTCTTGATGTTGAACGGAGAAGATTGAACGACTTTTGTCTCTCTCCCTTGTGATCTGGATATCTCGTTACGTATCCCCTGACAGCATTGAGTAGCAGTTCCTCTCTGGTTACCCCATGAACTTCCGTTCCAAAGTCCAATCCTTGGACATTTTGTTGAGCATCGGTTCACCCTCTTGCTTTACCATGCTTGTCATCTCATGATGAGGTCTCTGAACTACCTGGTTACACTTCCTGATTGGTTTCACAACTATCAATTTTAGATTTATCCACAGAGTCAATTTTTTGCTCCCCCACCCCTAAAAAACACTCAAAATATTTCAAATGTCTGTTTTTTCCTCTTTCTTTCGTAGTGTAACCATTTACATCTGTTTGTCGTTCCGTTTTGGGGAAGCTATTTCAAGGAGTGTCTTCATCTGTCTGTGGAGTTGATTACATACATCACAAGTTGACCCTGACAGGCAGGGTCTAAGTAGCCGGCCTCCTGAAAGATCTTGATTATATCGTTGAAGACATTAGGCATTTACAATCAGTCTTGGTGACAATAACATTTACCATCATTGTCCACTGGGGAAGAAGACCCTGTGACAGTAATTTATATTGCATTCGCTCTTTTGTGATCTGTATAGGAGTCGTTTTTGATTAGTTTTGAAATATTGTCAGCCTAAGTTTTTCCAACTTAACTTTGATAAAAATCAAAGTTAACCTTTTGCACTATTCAACCCTTGCAGACCACAATGGAAAAATGATTTGTCATAAACTCAAAATTATTGTGCCTTTAGCATGACCTCTACTACCATATTCACCCTATTAAACTGAACTATGGGCAGAACTCTTGAGTTTGAGACCCCTTTCAGACGAGGGTACAACTGGAAAAAAACAACAACAAAAAACAAATAACAACAAAGTTTAGTGTATTTTGAATGGTAAAGTTAAATTTTCTGTTACTCTGTAAATGTGATATTTTGATCTTTTCCCATTGTGGTGTTCACTTGGTTGCAGAAAAAAGAAAAATCTGCTTGCCCTAACGTATTTATGACCTCATTAATTTGTGTCATGCGTATAATATATTTATATGTAGAGTGGTTTGTATCATGCGTCTGTTGTTCCCATGATATAGAATACATCGGTCATTTGATTTCTTTCTGAAGTTCCCAGGCGGAACAGTCACTGTTGATGTGTGCCGATGTTTGTCATATCACTGGGTTTTACACGTATGTAGATGATCCTTCTGTGTGGCAAGTTTGTCTCTGTGCAGAGTTCTTTGGAAATAATGGATATCAGGACTTTTGAAGTCCACATGATGTTGGTTTTTTGGGGGGTTTTTTGGTGTGTGTGCGCTTGTTTGTGTATTGGAGGTGGGGGGGGGGGGGGTATATTTATGTGTGATTGTGTGTGGGGAGGGAGAGAGAAAGTGGTGGAGGAAATGATGAGAAAGAGTAATAGTTATGGAAGGCAGAAACAAAAGAAAAGACATTGAAGGGAAAAAAAAAACAAGAAGGGGGAGGTGGGAGTGTTAAAGGAGAGAAAGAGAGGGAGAGTGAAACAATGGGTTGTTGTGGGGACACGATGCTTTTTAGTGTGAAAGTTTCGAATTTTTTATGACCGTTCCTTGTTAGTTTTACATGTTTCTCGTTGTGATGATAGATGACTGACCCTTGATGATGCATGTTTTGAGGCATTGTCAATTTGATAAAATTTAGTCGCCAGCCTCCTAAAGCAATCATTCTGATGTCAATATTTAATTCAGTCTTCAATTTTATTTTGTTCTTATACAATATTTTTGTGTCATGATGTAGATTGTGATGATTTGTCTGGCGTCTTTAGAGTGTAGTCTGTGTTCCTTTGTATGGGCGTGGGGGGTTGGCAGGTGACCTGGTGTGGTTTGCTCCATCTTTCCCATCAAACATATATCGTCCAGAAATGAGAGCTGTCATTGTCATTGGATATGTGTGTCATGTCTAGTATCTGTAATAGTTTTTTGTGCATGTAGGTGACTTCTGACTGCGGTGAAATAGGCTCTTCGCCGCTGCATGCTGAAGACGTGAGTACGAGTCTGTAAGGGAAGTTTTTTGGGTTTTTTATGTGGAGTTTCGCTATCTGCTAGGATGGTTTCCCTCTCAGCCCAAAGTTGCCGGAAGCAGCATGCTTCCTAAATAATACAAATTGTACTGAAGTTGGGAAACATCTTTAACTGTCGTTGCAATTGTTGCACATAAATGTGCTCATGACCTGAAACATTGACTGTCCTCCTGGTGTGTGAACTAGAAGTGTGTGTGTGTGTTTTATGTATTTTTACCCAGTGTAGATCAATACATCATATAATTAAGTTTAAAAACTACTGCTTTTTATGACTCGTTATCATAGAGTTGATATTTACATAAACATTCCCTTTTTAAGTGGTTGTTAACGGAATGACTGCGGTATTGTACTACTAATGTGTGAGAGCCAGATCTTCTGCATTTCAGTTTGTGTACATCTGTATTATTGTGTTCCGTTCATTAGTATGTTCTGTACATATTTGAATTCTCTTGAAAAGATGCTTCATCATATTACTCGGATGACTACATCTTTAATGTCCGTTGTGTTTTCTGTGTGGAGTTTTGATGTAGATGATTATGATTCTTTTTGGTTTCCTCTGTCCTTATTATTTTCTTTGGTTGGTTTAGACTTTTTTCCTTTTTAAATTATTTTTTTTGATGGTGTGGGGGCGTGATGTATTCTTAACACATTGTTTTGTGGTTTGTGTAGTTCTACTTAAGTATGTGGTTGGGTGTGTGTGTTCTTCTATTTGCTTGCTCATGTGTTTATTTGTTTGTATATGTATGAGAGGCTGAGAGAGAAACTGAGAGCTGTATCTGTTTGCTTGCTCATGTATGTATTTGATTGTATGGATATGTGAGATCGAGAGAGAGAGAGAGAGAGAGAGAGAGAGGGAGAGAGAGAGAGAGAGAGAGAGAGAGTAGTAGTACATGATGTAAATTATTGCTAGATATTTATTTGTCTGAACTAACAGTGGGTTATATCGCAGTTGCTGTGAGTGAGACTGTTAGTGTGGTAGTTTCCGTGGCTTCTAAATTCTGTAGATGGCTGGAGATCACCACTGGCAGCTCCTACTTCTTTTTTTTTACTGTCTGTCTGTCTTTCTATTTCCTACACTTAATGATCTTAAGTGTGTCAGCGTGCCCCTCTTTACTGACACAAACATTGCTTGGCCTGTCCCCCTTTATCTCTTGTACCACAAGGCTGTGGTTGCAGTTTGGACTTTTTTTTTTTTTGGTTGTTTAAAAAAATATATTTTTGCCTTTCATGTCGCTGCTGTTACAGCAAATTGTGATGCTTTATCGCTGTGTACCAACTATGATTGACTGCTCTGTGGTGGCAGAATTTAACTACTTAAATTGTCTGACAGACAGATCAATAAGCTGCTTTGTGCGATTTCCTTTGTGTGGTTTGCTCCTTCTTTCCTATCAAACGATTATTGTCCTTTTCCATCCTTCTTTTTTTGTGTTTGTTACTCTATTTTAACACCTTTAATCTTCGGCTCTTATACGACCTAATTGTGTTGCAAGTGCCGTGAAATGCTTACTAACATAAGACAATAAAACAGCTGATATACCATGTAGGTCTCTTTTTTTTTCTTTTCCTCTATTGTCTCTTGCTTTTTTCCCCCTGAGCTAAATGATCTTTTGTCATGTGGATAGGCAGTTGAAAAATGGAGGACCACCTATAATTCAGGAGAAAAGTGGTCATCTTAGACAGGTAGTCTCAGTGAACAACGTCATAATGATCTAAAAAATTTTTTTTAAAGATGGAAGGATGGGGGAATGGGAAATGGTAGTTTGAAAAGGTAATCGTCTTTGACAGATGTTTGGTTGTTACAGCATGTTCGACTGTATTTCTCATTTCTCAAACAAATAGACTCAGACTAGTGTTTCCCTGTTGCCGGGCCAGAACCTGTGGTTTTCCCACAGCCATGTTTGTGCTTGTGCTGGGGAGGTGTCATTTTTCCACCTGAATCAATGGTGTATTGTAATGTTCGGCACTTGAACATGCATGCAAAGGACATCTGTTTAATTCTCGTTTTGGAAAGATGTTTGATGAGTTGTCTCATTCTGCAGGGATGTATCCCATTTGTCCGAGATTAGTGCCAACAAGCAAAATCAAAGCAGCCTGCCTCTAAAATTATTTAAATTGTGTTGATGAAGGTGTAAATGATTTATAGAAAAATCTAAGACTTAGTTGGTGTTCTAAATTTCATAGCTGTGGGACAGCTTATTGGACTAGATGTTTCTTTTAATTCTGCCCTAGTTTGCTTCTTCTTATTCTTGGTTTCACCTTTATCTTAATCTAGGCTTTTTTATAAGCTCCCGTGACCTCACAGTGTCGGCGAGGATTGTGCATTAAAGATTCTTTTCAAAATGAAGGTGTGAGAAATAACCAGATGGCTGAAAGAGATAACCTTACCTTACTTCATTTGCTTGTAGAGGTGTGGTCTCTTAATAGGTGGTCTTTAAAGAAGTAGTGTTAATACTTACTTCTCCCTCTGTTTGCACATAATGCTGGACTGTTTGCTGTAGTTTGTTCCCAAAGGAATGCAGAAGTTATCTACAAGTGTGTATAGGTGTAGCTGGACCTGTGGAGATTGATTACATTTTTTGGTTCCTGTGAATGGTGGAAGCTGTCAACACTTGTTGAGTATGTTAAGCTTGGTTTTTTTTTTTCTTTGTAGTATATAGTTTTGCTGGCTGTATTGAGCTACTGCTCCTTTGTTTCCCTCTGTTGTTTCAGACCGTCTATTTTGCTCTACTAAATGATCATGATAGTGCCAATGTTCTTTTCTGTACTTGAACTGAACTAAGCTTCGGGTGATGGAGGGTGCCACTGGTAGGTCCCACGTCTGTTCTTTCTCTCTAATATTTCCTGTCTATCTGTCTTACTTTTTCTCTGCAATAAATAACCACATATTATGTCCATGTGCTTCTCTTTTCGCTCACATACAATACTGAACTAGGCCCGCTTCTTTTGTTATGTGTCTGTCTGGTGTCCTGCTATGACACAGAATTATGTGGCCATCATTGTGTCAGTGTCTTTTTTTTTACTCTGGCTCAGTCACAAAGACAATCACCAAAGTCTGTGGTGTATAATTCAGACATCAGGGCATGCAGCATCGCTGAGTTATGGTTACCAATATTTGCACTTAACTGTGTGTGTTATCATTTTTGTGTCCTAATAGTAATAACTAAAAGATCGTTGGTCGTTGGCTGTAGGCAGAGTTGGCAAATAACAGTCTACATATTTTTGTAATGCTTGTTGTATATTTTGTCTCGTTACATCATATTCCAATCAGTTCAGCTTTATGTCTCCATCTTTCTCTCATGTAGATTTATATGCATATTCAAGTGTGTGTGTGTGTGTGTATTTGTACATTTAGTTTTTATTTTATTGGAGTGGAATTTTCTGTTTATTCCACCTACAGGGTGTGACTGTGAATTTTTTAACAAATATTTTTCTCCAAATGCCCTGCCTGTGACTCGTGTGTCTGGTGTATGCTGTGAGAATTTTAAAGATTCTGTGGACGATAAGCGGGAATTTGGAGAGTGCATGCAAGGGATTCCACAATTTTATACACCCAGTGGGGAAGGGTGTTTCCTTAAAAACAGCTATAATTTAGTCTTAAATAGCGAGCCAGTGAAATGTGGAACCTTAAACGCCACTTCAGTGGTGAGCTGGATTTAAAGAGTTATTTGTGTCAGCTTGCTGCTCTTTTTGGAAACTGAAGTATACTGTTGGCTCTGTTGTGATATCCAACACAGTAAAAAAAACAAGAGATTGCAACTCTCACTATAAGCAGTTTTTGGTTGTGGTGTCTGGGGAGTGATTTTGGCTTTTTAGCCTGGTCTGTGTGCGTGTGTGGCCGTCGTCGGTCTTCCTCTACTTGTTTTCCTTTTTATTTGTGCTTGTGTATGTACGTGTTTGTGTGTGTGTTGGTGGGTGGGTGTGCGCGCTCGTGCAACACAGCTTGTATTTGAATACAAGTCAGAGTGACCATTGATCTGATCAATATGTCATGTCTGTTGTTAACTCTATAGGTTAATGTAAGTCATTTTTTCAACCCAAATTATAAAAAGACTTTTATGTCAGATGCTTTAATAGTTCTTAGAGGTGTATTCGTCCACATTATTTGTGTAAGTTTATTTGATTCAGACCACTATAATAATAATAATAATAATTGCATTTATATAGCGCATATCCATGCTCAAGAGCATGCTCTATGCGCTTTACAACTATTATTTCAGCCCTTATGTGGCCCAGATTCCATCACCTCCAATTCTTATTATCAGTGACTTTGAGATGTGCTCTAGATGTTGAACAATAAGTGGATTTGTGTAGATGAATTGTTAAGTGCATGGAGCCTTCTTGCTTATAGGTTTATATGTGGGATGCAATCTAGATAGTTAAAAATCTTGGCAGTATTTTATATATTAGTGTTTGAGTGCCAGTTAAATGGCAGTTTATGCTGACTTCTCCCTTAGAAGCTGAGAATGTTTAGGAATATTTTAGTCTGTCTTGGTAGTAATAAATTGTAAAGCGTATAGAGTCTACTTTCTAATTGGGATGATATGCAGTACATTAAATAAATCTGTTATTATTATTAACATCGACTGATAACTGGATTTTTCTCTGAGCGTTCATGTTAAGACAGGTGTGTAGTGTGATGCAGATGAGGAGAGTGGAGTTATGCAGTTGGGAGCGCCGTAAAACCCCATACTAAAACAAAGAGTGGAGTGAGTGGTTGTTCACTGGTGTTGTTCACTGGTGTTGTTCACTGGTGTTGTTCAGATGTTGTACTACTTTGCAGACCCAGGTCCGTGTGAACACGTTTTAGTTACTGCTGTAGTACTTCGCTGTCACTGCCACAAGAACAAGAACAATGTGCAGGAACTCCCGATATTGTTTCACCCCTTGAAAGACTGACCGAGAATGTAGAGAACACTTTCTGCTGGTGGCTGGAGGATGCCACCGGTAGTTCCTTCTTCTTGAGTTTTTTTTTTTTTACCTCTGTTGTTTCTATCAATTTTGCTTTTTCCTACTGTATAATACCATATGACCATTATGGTGTCAATGTGCTTCTCTTTACTTTTACTCTAACAAAAACATTTTCCCTGTCAAAAGTAGGCGCTGGAAAGCTAATAAGTGCTAGTTATATTTCTTGGTGTCTTTTTACATGCATAAAAATAGTAGATACCATGAGGAATCTACCGCAGCTTTTTAGAGTGTGAGGTGTTCTCTATTGACTGCTAAGTGTAAGACTCCTCGATATTCCTTTTTGAAAAAGTGACCTTACACCAAGTTACACTGAGCAGCTGCTTTGTTCTCAGCCCAAAGCTGGGTCTTTATGTAGTTCAACATTTTTCTTGTGACAATGACAGGAAGTATCTGAGTGGAACTAGGTTTAAATGAAATGCCAGCAACAGATATTTTTCTTGAAGGTGTGTCTCTGAGTGTTTAAAAATGGTGTTTTGGCTCATTTTGTCCTCTGTTTCTGTACTCGCAGGCTGACTGGTTGTCACTTGTGTTGTTGATGAAGGATGCCATATTTTGCTTCAGAATGAAGTCACCTGCCTTTACTCAAGAATTTTATTGTGGCCGTCAATTCAGAGATGCAATCAAAAGTTAATGAAAAACGCAAGAGGGGAGGGAGGGGGGGGGGGGGGGAGAGACCGACTGAAAAAGTGAAAGATGCACCGTACCCGCAAGAGAGAGAGAGAGAGAGAGAGAGAGAGAGAGAGAGAGAGAGAGAGAGAAAAGCTGTAGAGTTAAACGCATCTTTCGATGTTGTGAGGTGGTTCATGGCCTAAGTGTTTGAGATTGTGTATCATGTATGGCTGCACATAACGTCATTAAATGATGGTAGCTATGTACGAATTGTGAACACACCGGCATATAATTGCAGGCTCACCCATACATACCTTACCTACATATTACGCATACACATACATAACACAGTAACACATATGCACTCGCACTAACACAAACACAAGGACACACATACATACACAAACGCAATATAAACACGCACACACACACAGACACATACACTCACAAACACATACACACACTTTTATACACACACATTCATACACAAACACACTCACAGATGAACATGCACACACACTCACCCTCACGCAAAAGTACACTCACTTATCAACATACGCACACGCGTGCACACACACACACAGACACAAACACACACACAGACACAAACACACACACACACAAACAAGCAAACAAACTCACACACACACATACACACACAATACACACTCACCTGTCTACACATGTACAGACCAGTAAACACTCTCACACAAACATAAACACAGGAAAACACAACCCCTCACCCCCCACCCCCACATATACAAATACAGACACATGCATGCACACACACACACACACACATTCACACA